TCTTGGAACTTTTGTTATGTACAGCAGTGGAACTTGCGCTTGATGGCAATGGGTAAAATGTTCTTCCTATAAATAATTGTCTTATATAGCCTAATGTTTCGAATTTGTAGCCACGCATCGTCCTTGTCCGACTGTAGTTGTAGTGGCAGTTGCTCGTCACATTCAAGTTTCCTTTAAACTGGTAATGATTTCCCCATACTGTAAACTTTCGTTGTCTGTCCCTAGGTGTGTCTGTCGTTACTTTAGACCAAGTTTAGGTAACAAACTCCTTTGCGTCAGCGATAATTTGGCTATCACTCATCAAGCTTAACAAAGATCGATGCGATCACACTGTACGTACTGGAACCCCATAGGGAATTAGAGCTACGGAATGCCATTGGCTAGTTCCATCTCCCTATAAGGACTAGGCCGAAAGACCAGCGACTGCATAGTCGAAAGAGTCACTGTCTACGCGGTGATCTTACCGTTATACATCGTATTAACTTAACCCAGGTTATGTTTTCCCTACTATCCTAAAACTTGGCGGTACCAACGCTGGATGTACTAAGCAGCCAGTAGGTTTGTTACCGGACATTTTGCCCTCAGACTTTGACAGCAGTGAAACGACATTATGTCATTTCCGCGGCAACGTGTTCAATTTATTGAAGTCCTTCCATGATACACTATATCATTTTTATTACCTGACGATACATGTTAATCGGGTGACGATGAAACACAAACTAGCAGTGTGCTCACTTTCACCCCGCATCAAATCGGGGATTAAAATTTGTGCTACTTTATTAGCCGGTGATTTCACAGAAGTGTGCTTTAGGTTACTGAGAACGCTTCTATTTAAAATTATGTATTCCACCTTTGCAATCTTATGGGATTGGTCACACTTTACATTTTCCCCCGTGTTATCGCACTGTTACTCTGTAATCTATTTCGACAACTTGATCATCGCAATTCATCAATCGAAAGTTAAACTGATAGCCATAGTGGTGAAATAAGCTATGTTTAATATGATAACTATTTACTACTGCGTCAGTTGTTTAAGTAATAAGACCAGTGAACTTAAAGGAAATCGTGGTTTGTAATTTCCAATATTTAGTGGCACAGCCTTCATGGTATGGACAGAGGAGCAATCTGGTGTGGGTGTATATAACACTTTAGTCAGGTAGATCGAGCAATTTAGCTGTGACCCATTAATTGAGATAAAAAGGTCTCTCCCGAGAGGTATGAACAGAGAGTAAGTTCATCCGATGGAAATATCTGGATCAGAAGTGAGGAAAACATACAAGATTGCCACTGAATTAGTGTGCACCATGCCGACAGGTAACAAGGCCGATGATGTGGCCGATTCTGAAATCGACCCTTGAGAGAAGCACGATACATCAGCAGGACACCAGTACACAATACCTACTCTTCGCTACCACGCAACCATCAACAGTCGCACGTGAGCTATGAGGACTGCGTGAGTCGCCTGGTCTGCTACGCAGGCTCGAAGGCGCGATTGGATCGTAAAGCCGGGCTTGGGAGGCTGCAAACGATGAGCTTATACATGTTGTGCTGGAACGTAATTGTCTAAACACTTCCAGTTATGATCCTGCCAAGCGAGATATTGTTGAGTAATACCTGATGACACAGGTAGGGAACAAATGACCCAGTCGGCACCTAAAGCTATACCTTTAACCCCAAATAATTGACATTCACGTTGCTTACTCGGTGCTATTGCTGGAAGTGCGCAACCAATGTACTTATCAGGGGTTTAACGTGGTCAAGATTTTAAAGTCCTCAGTGGTCAGTGCCCAGGTGAGCGATGTATAAACTAACACTAGCCGCTGTGTAACGGAAAAAGGCAATCCTTTATTCAGAACCAATTACATCCTGCCTTATGTTCGTGACAATGTCTTTACAAGCGTCAGCACTGCTTCCGGAAGCTTCCCGGTTGATGCGACCAATACAATGACCCAGACACCCGACTATACTGAGAGGTTTCTCGGTAGATGTGAGAAGTGTGTGAGAGTCAGAGAGGCACGCGACAGTCAGCTTCGTTTATCACCATAGCAGATCCAAGAGGTAAAGCAGAGTTTGGACATTGCTAAGAGTCTTCTTGTACTTGCACAACTCAAGGACTAATTTCTCTTTGTTCAGCTTCCAAGTGTTCATGGTATATTAACTTCAGGATAACACCTGATGGTTACCGTACTTCCTCCGAAGAAAGATATCATCACAAACGATTGCATTCATGGTAGTTAGGAGAGCATTACTGGCCGGGGTAATATAGTGGCAGTACACACCGGAAATCAACAAGACCCAAACTGGTCTTTTCAGATTTCACCACTAATAACATCAACATCAACATCAGTGAGATAGAGATCTATCCAAAATATTCACGTTTGAGTCATAACAAGATGATCGAATAATTTGATAATCATCTTGCTTTCTTGATGCCAAGAGTTTCATCACATTCATTAACCAATAAATTCTGCGCTTATTCTTGGTGGTGTTCAGATAGAATGCATTCGGAAATGCAAATACCTTCACAGTTGCATCAATACCTGTGAAATCAAAGACGAGGTCACAAAAGGTATTGTAAAAGCTCAAGGCGAGTCTGAAAACATTCGCTACCTATGGTGCCCGCACGACATTACTCTCGCCCTTAAGGGTAGAGTGCACAAGCCAGCCTTACGTTAGTTCCCACAGTAAGTCCGTGAAATCTGGACAATTATATTGGCAGAAGTATAGAGGTTAGTTGCGTTCGACAACCGCCGCGTTCGTAGTTTGACTTATGTAGCGGAGCTAATGAGCGTGTTGGCTGCATTGAAGAGGAAGTGAACCGCTCAGCACCGTTATTTCACGCAGCAGGCTCCGATGGCTGAGCCACGGGTTGCGCACGTCAGCACACCGGCTCCCGCGACGTGCATGATTTACGCGCCAAGCGTGTGAATAGATGAAGAGGAGGAGAGGCCAACTGATTACTTGGTTAAGAAGAATATAAGCAGTTAGTGTGCGGTTGACCTCCCTTGAAGACTCTCTACACGCACGTTGGGGTCCGAAAGATGATGAGCACATTGGGTTGAAATGAATCAAGGGAGGCAGAATCTGAGTAAAGAATTCTTTTCGGTGATTCTCATCAGACTCAAACATTACATGATGACGAGAAAGTGCTACATATGCCGGATTGGGCTGCGTATTGAACAGAACGTTTAATTTCAACAGGAACAAATTAACAAATCACGGGGTCATTGAAAGTGGCAAGTATGTACAGGGGAAATCACGGCTCACCTACGCATAGCATTTTACAACAAGCGTTTATTCGCAAAACCTTTGAACGACAGGCTGCCTCCGGTGACTCGATCAATGCTTGTTTATCTTTACTCGTGCTCTTGTGGGGCACGATACGTGGGTCGTACCACGAGGCGCCTATCTCATATGATCCGCGAACACACCCCAAAGTGGTTTTACAGAGGCGAAGCACTGTCCAGTCACAGTTCCATTTTGCCTCATCTTCTACAGTGCAGTCACACAGGGACAGAAAATGATTTTAGAGTCATCTATACTGTTCCTGAACGTTTCACGCGCGGATTCCGGATGCATCTTCTGTCTATTTCGGAAGCTATCTAAATCCGCCACGTCAAGCCAGAATTGGGCGTACAAAAACAGTTTGTACGTCATTTACTTCTATCGTGGCCTACAACTTCGGCCGTGATTTCCTCCGTACATACCACTTTCAATGACCCCGTGTGTTATTGATTTTTCCTGTTGAAATTAAACATTCGGTTGAATACACAGCCCAATCCGGTATATTTAGCAGTTTCACATCATCACGCAGCGTTTGAGTCTGAAGAGAATTACCGAAAATCATTCTTTACTCAGATTCTACCTACTTTGATTCATTCTAATAAATGGGAATTTTTGGATTGCTGAGTATCAGCATTCCCCGTGATTCAGTCAAGACATCGGGTTGAAAACACTTATTGATATGTCTAGGTTGACCTTGATGGCGGTTGTGCTGCGAGTTTCTCGTATATCCCCTCCAGCTTAGCCACCCACTGAAACCCTGATTTATTCTGACGCACAATATAAAGTTTTTGCAACTTTAGCCCGCTGCTGGCATCCAGATATGATCATCCTTTACTGGTGGCTCAGCTGGCTTGCATCTGTTGTGTATTTTTCCCTCGTGTTTTGCGGCACAACAGCTGAAGTGCATTCCACCTCTCGCTAGTGTGTACTGTGATACTGATCCTCACCAATATGACCGTGTCAATGTACAACAAAAATTCTACGCAGATTCAATCAGAGCGCCCATTTAGCTTTTCGTTCTGCGATGACTCGTAATGTTGGTATGTCGGAATGAATGGTGGCATAGTGGTGTGCTCAGCAACCTGAGCGACCCGATTGCATAGGTTTCGTTAACAATCGCGATGACATCTTTGGTGCGCAGCTGTGGCTGGTGTAGTAGTAACGATGGTAGCAATAGTTTGGATAACAGACAGCCGCTATTCATACAAGCTTAAGATAGGTTTGGACCAACACGGCGTTCTCTAACCTTGGTTAAATATCATCATTGCATGGCTTCACGCTAGATCAGCAAATGCATAAAGTAAGGCTGACTTCTTATGTTTGACCCAATAGGATTTTGTAGTGAGTGGAACTTATTTGGATGTGGTATTTCTTCACCCATTAGGCGATTTATTACTAGTGAATAGCATTGTAGAAAGACAGTTAGTGTAGGGCTTGTTTATTGAGTAGAACAAGTTGGAAATTTTGCAGAGGTTATTGAATGCACTAGGCACAGAGTTCGCCGGAATTGGCATTAATATTTTGGATGGTTGCTAACTATAGTTATCCCAAATGGTCCTCTGTGGACAGATCACTGGTCAAACAGTGCTTGAGACAAACGTTGAAAAAGGTGTTCGAAAAATTGAATTGCCCATAACAACACTTTGGAGTTCCGTGGCACGAAATAAAATATTGACCTTCACTGCAGTTCAACAATCTTTCTTACAGGTTTGCCAATGAAAAGAAGATCGAAGTCACACTCTGTGCCAGGCCAAAAATACAGTAAGTGTCATACGTATCGTCGAATTTTCACGGAAGATTGAACTTGGGATTAATGCGCCTCACATGAGCTGTTTGACATGGTAGATCATAGTATGTTCCGTTTGGTTTTGCCGCTCGTATTAACCCCGACGGCATTGCATTGACCACCACGAATATGAGATTTTTTGAATTACTATGTCCCGAAAGCACTCAGAGCAATGTTACACACTAAGGTAAACGTGGACCCAACCCTAATGTACTGATGACACCTTATAATTACTAATCTTCTTAATCCTGGTAAAAGCTTTAACCATCTTCTAGCATAATCAAACGGCTGACATCTTACCGAATACAGTCGAAACTCGAATGGTCAAATCAGCCTGAGGTCCCTTGTATGGTATCCATAGAAGTTAGTCGCGAAGGTTCACCAGCTTGCCCCATGGTTCAGTCCTACACATAGTTCTGTAATGAATTGGTAACCGTATGTTTGAGTCCTGTAGTTGTTACAGGAGATCTCGTAATGTCACAAATCCGCGTCGAGTACGAATGTCGAGTATGTAATCTCGCTCGATGTGTAACAGAACTCATGTAACAGCTAACACTTGGCATCCATTTCTAGATAGGCTGGTGTGTCCGCAATATAGGATGTCACCAACTGACACACATATTTGTACAATTGTGGTTATAAGTCAGGGAAAGTAAAATAGGTTACAGTTATGTTTACAATGGAACAATGGTATAATACGGAGAAAAATGCCAAGGCTCGACAAGTCCCGTGGGATGGCTTGTGCAAATGACGTTAGTGCAGTGAAATTACACAAAAGTGGAAACCCATCTTTGGATTCACCATATTAACTACGTTGACAAATATGTTTATCCGTCTACCCCGATTTCGTGGGGTTGGTGAGCACAATGTTTGTCTGCATCTTGTGGTTATTCAATGAACAATAATCAGGTCAAGTAATGTAAATGGTGTAAAGCATCGTCGATTCGTTTTTTTAAAAGTGGGTAGCGTGGGCGCTGGAATGAGAAAAGTCAGAAGTCCGTTGAGAAACTCAAAGGGAAAAGTAATTCCAGCGGCAGTCCAGCCTAGTGTATTGGGTGGCAAGTTCAATGCTGTGTTGCAGCTAAGCTTCAGGAGGTGGCGGCAAGCGTGACTTGGGTTTTTCAAAAGCTGGAACGCCAAGGTAATGTCACCCAGTAGACGGCGATATCTTCCGCCGTACACTCCTAGAGCTTTCAGTCGCCTGTATTATTGAACGTGGGACAACACTATACATATTTCGTTGCCGGTCGCTGTGTGGTCTTCAGTGCAAGCAGGTCACGTTTTAACCACCGTTGCCAAGGCTGGATCTCATGGTCTATATGGGGCCTCACATAAGCATTGAGCATTTGGGGAAAGACGGTGGGATGGAACTTCCCGAGCGCCCTGCGTAACTGACTAACATGTTGGCTTTACTTTGTTTTCTCTCAGAACTAACAAATTTTACTGTTACTTGCTTTGTTCCTGCACCATTTCACCAAAGCTTAGTGCAGTTCAGCACCTATTGGCATTAAGAATAACGGTAGACTTATCTTCTGTCATGTTGGGAATGATCAATAGCGCAAATTCGTATTTAATACAAACTATCTATTAACATGTTACTGAGACTGAGACTGAGACTGTATTTAAGAGCAAGTAGAAAGGTTTCTGTACAACTCTATCGAATTACGAAAAATCAAAATTTACTTGTGAATTATCAGCAGTTGTGTCTGATCCGTTAATCGTTTATCCGTGTTCGGTTAGAAATTTGTACTAGCGTCATTATTTCCGGACATACAACGTCTTCTTTTGGCACTGTATGTGCATCGTTTCACAAAAGCACAGGTTTCCAAAATAATCGTCGATACGGGTTTTAAAACACTTCACAGAATCGGCCTCTATTAATCCTTCTGGTAGTGTATTCCATAAGTTTACGATTCGTCGTTCGATACAAAGCTGATGTGATACTTTGTTCATGCTGGGGACCCTGAGTTTGTAACGATGTTCTCTTGTGTTACAGGGTCCTCGCAGGTGAAATATTGGTCGCAGTATGGGGAAGTGATTCAAGTGTAGTACTCGATGGGTCATAATAAGATCAATCCTTACTCGGCGATAGGATAGTGTGTAGAGTCCGAGTTTTTCACAACGTTTTTCATATGGAAGCTTTCGTAGACTTGGTATCATTCTAGTTGCGATATGCTGTATTTTCTCCAGTTTTTCAGTTTCCCATTGGGTTATCGGATGATAAGCTGGGGCAGGTAGATTACACCAGCAAGCTATATGTGACGGTGGTGGCCCAGGTGTATGATTAATCGAATATTATGAGCCTCCTTGCACACTGTTGCAGTGCAGTGTTAATTAATATGTTCAAGTGCTTTGGTCAAAGCTAAATTCAGCCATATAATTAGTGGCGAGGTTCCAACAGCGAGAAAGTTAAGTGTTTTAGACTCATGTTACCCTGAATCACTTGCAAGTACAGTGCTTTATTTTGCTGAAATGTACGCTGTGCTCATCAATACCACGTGGACTTCGGTTTATTGTGTACTTAACACCAAGTACCCATAACTTTCTTCATGTGCTCACCAATGTACATCGTAAACAGTTCCAATCCCACCTCCTCCTGCTCGTAGCCTTGCAAGGCCCATAGTCTTCCGGCCCGTAGTCTAACGGTAACAAGCTCGTCTTGTAATCTGGCGGTGTGGGTTCGACCCTGCGCAGGGGCAGGAGGATCCTGGCAGTACATTAGACCACGTGCGACCGGGGGTGGTTGCGCGGCAGCAAATCGTCGGTACTGCGTACCGGCGTACTGCTGATGTCTTCTTCTTTCTTTATAGACGTCCGAGAGCATTCCATCCGAAATGCACAGTGTAGGGGACTGAATATTTTTGGCCACGTAATCTGTAACTTGATCAGTTAACCTGATTTGACCAGCACATATTTTTAAAGCATGGGTAAAATTTCGCACAAAATGCCAAAGAAATCGGCCAAAAAGACTAGGTAGTAAAAATGAGAAATAAATTATTGTTTTTTCAAAGCCACAGGTGATATGTAATGGTGCTTTGGAAGTCTATTTTTTACTGTCGGCTGCCAATGCAAATTAAAAGGCAAAACGTGTAAATTTCAGTTCCTATGGCATCAAACTTATCATATTGGGCGATCAGTGTCAAATACACTCAAGCAGTTGTTTATATTTTATTCATCCCTTTTGAAATCCGGCGCAAAACCTGTCAATGGACTTTTCACGTAAGAACCACTTCCAGTGTTGTTTTTTATAAAGAATGGAAAAATATTTTCTAAACTGATATTCGCATTCATCACGAGTGTAGGCGAGCATACTGTTTGATAGATTTTTTGAGGTCATAAATCGCATCGTACACTGCAAGGTTAACTAAATAGGCGTTTGCAAAATAAGGGTTGTTAGTCCTCTAATCTATAAGCAGCCACACCACTTTGCCAAAAGGAAAAGCATTGGTGAAATGTTGACCACACCCATACAATCATCCGTCTTTAGTTAGACTGCTCTACCTTAGATAAGTGGATGGAGAACGGCAGCATATCGGCACAGCCTTGTCGTTACTTCTATTCACGTACGCAAATGTGTACACAGTCATAATATACTACGTTTACGACCAAAGCCACTCCAGAGGTCCTCCAAGGTAATTGGGTAGTTAAATTATTGCATGGGATGAGTTGAACTCAGAAAGTAATGTAGAATTGAGGCTTTGGTATAAAGGCGCATGGAGCAACTTGGACTTACCGTATTTGAAACATACCATTGCTCCGCTTCGTAGGAATCTAACATTCCTATAGTATATAGTCAATCAGTTGAGTCGCAGATTTTTGGCTTCGTCATCATATCATATCTTTCGTACGCATTCCATCCGAAGGTATTCACTGCAAGGACAAATATCCAGTATAAGGCTCAAACAAATACATGTTATTCTTGGTATTTCACCAAGCGATTCTGTGAAATGCTGCAATTTCTTCGGCGAAAGGCAAGGAAATACGAGCAACCTTCAGCGACTCTTGTATGTACAAAACATGTGTTAAGCGGTAGCCAAATTGAACAGCTTGTTACAAAACTTATGGAAACTAAAACGTATATTGGTTTGGCAACACGCTTAAGAAGCAATAGTGTTTATTTCGCTTTAACCAATCAGACAATAACTAAAATAAAACGTTTTGATATGAATTTTTAGAAATCTACTGCGAAAATGCCAAATACTACCTATGATTGTTTTCTGTGCATATTTTGAGGAACGTGCTATATATATATATATATATATATATATATATATATATCTGCCTCATGATAAAGCTGATGTCGCGTACATCATGCTTCTTCACCACAGTTATGGTACAACGAATTACACAAAAACTAGATCTTAAAAAGGAGAGTAGGTGTTCCAGCTTTACATTTGGATTCGGAGTAACCTCCATTTGGTTGGGTGGTGACACGCAATCTCTATTGAGACCTCGGTTCACTCTGAACTAGCACCCGGTCCTTCCGCTCACAACAACCGTATCTGAAATGAATGCGATTGGGCGGTGCTTCTCCCAACGCTGACAACCCATGACCGATACGTCTTTGTTTGGACTGCTTAAATGTAGTTAGCCCGAGTGTTCCACCATATTTGATATGCTAATCACCGTTATTCTTCTGCATTTGCAGTGCCAATTCTTTTTGTTTACTTTCAAATTCGGTGTTGGTTGTTCTATATCCCGGTATGTCTGGGCTTAATGTGTAGGTTGACGAGGTGATTACCTGTCGCAAAACCGCTACCTTCATTATATCGGCTCCAGAAGACCGTTGGTGGTTGCTTTGGGAGACACGGTAGATTGGTAATACATGCCTGATGCTGACCGGCTGCGTGTTGATCCGGAGCTAAGATGTTAGATATTTCTAGATGGTCCGTTAGGCCTTAGCTTTGATTGACTCTATTACCTTTGAGAGCACCTGGAAGAGAATCACAAGGCGATAGTTGGCAAGCTTCAAACGGTTAACCCTTGAAATGAACCTTGACCAGTTTGATCACTGGAACTGCAGCTGATGAAGCCAAAGTAACAAGTTTGTTGTACACCCCTAAATCACTGCACTCCAGGACACGATATAGTGTAATTTGACTCATATGGTAGATTGCAGGCCCCGACCCCGGGATCACAGCGATGCTAGTTGTGACATCTACACCTTTAGATTGGTGTCGCAATCCAATCGAACAACGAATACTACGATGTGATTCTTTAATCAATTAGCGAGAGATTGATATGCAGCTTCAATGATTTTGCCAAATTAACTTCTGTTTCGTGTCGGCTCGACATGTGCCCATGCAGCTGTTAGCATGAGTACTACGTGTTGACCTCCCTGGTCAGATGCTTGGCGTTCCATACAAAAGAGCGGACGCAAAATGAACGAGATTGCATCTATAGATAGGTAAGCAATATTAGGAGGCGAAAACCGAAACAATTATACATAATATTTTGAAAAAGCAGAGTTATGTAGGTCAGTTGATTGCTCCGCTCAACACATTTGGACGCCGCCTCAAATACCGAGACTTCCTTACCTTCTGTCGGTAACTAATAGACTGCAAACAACCAATATTGACTATCCCGTTAAACTGAGGAATTCCGTGGTGAATACTTTTCAATTAAAGAGTGATGGGATGAAATATGTTGTGCACGCTTTTTGAATAGTGCTCTATTTTCGGAAGGTAGATAAAGCGTGAAAGATAATGGCCACACAAACAGTTCGTAAACACCTGTTATCGATGAACTCATTGAAATAGTGCAGAGTGTGATTCATATTGACAGAAGGATTAGTGCTGGCACCATGGCTGGGCAAGTTCCTTTGAACAAAGAATGTTGTCAACAGATCCTGAGGACGAACTACACATGAAACATTTTGTGGTAAAGTGATTTCAAAATTTCCGTGACGTGAGCAAGAATAACAACGCAGGGAATAGTTTTCGGACCTTTTGCAACGCTTTTTGTATGTACTTGCTTCGTTTTACTCGATAGTCACGTGGGATGTAGCTTGTAAACTAACGCATGATCCTGCAACCCTTCAACAAGCAGCATACTGAAGTTAAAATTTTCTCCGGGACCAAAATACTTTTACATGAGTCGTTCGTGTTTTGTAGACTATGTTGATAATTTCTTTGATTTTCAGTTGTACCAGGGTACAGCCTGTATTCAGTAACCAGCAGACCGTGACTAGTCTTCAGGCATCAGGACTTCCTTGTCAGTAGCCGTGAATCGGCACCATATTTTGTAAACAGTTTTCCTAATTTTTGACTACTAATAAGTAGCGAAGCTTGGTGAGCATTAGTTGATTCACCACAAATAGCTTATAAGCCAGCCAGACCAACTATTATTTCAGAACAGCCGTTTCAGAACGGCCGTTTTCTACTCCTGGGACTCAACCTTGGCCCGTCTTCCTTCGGTTCCTTACTGGGGATCAAACTCATGACCATTAGTGACTTGTACAACTATCCAGTTACTTATGCCACGGAGCCGTGAGGGAAGATAGCTGATCCTCCTAGATGTGATATAGTGCGACACATCCTCCACTGATATTCCGGTTACCATGCCAGCAGCCACGAAAGTACAGTGCAGTTTGAAGACGTTTAGGGATAATCTGTACGACAATAGAGCTTTGCTTGACTTCATTATTTCATATCATTTTCTTTCCGTCCGGTTGCCTGAAGGGGACCAATGGAATTCGTACTGCTGACGAGTCTCAAAACGAAGAAACGGCCACCGGATGCTCTTCGAAACTAGTGTTTTGGTTAGCTGCCCTGGAAGCTGATTGCGATAAACTAAATAATGCTCGACAAACCCCTCTACTCCTCCGTAATCAAACACTAGGACAACAGTATTCAAATTGCAGTGCGGATCCAAGGTTACTGGTGGGGAAGTCCTGCTAGATGAGTACTGGCCTCTATTTTTTGCACGGTCTATAATCTACATGACACTGGAGAATACGTCAGGCTGGAGCATAAAATTGCAAACTAACTGGGATATAGTACGACCCATCTTCCACTGGCATGCAGGTTACTACCTTAGCAGATGATAGTGGCTAGCCTCCAAACTTCAGGACTTCCTCTCACAAACGATACGTCCATAGCATGTGCAACTAGGAAAGGATACATATTTTATTTTATCAATGAGTAGGAGGATTTTTGATTGTAACTATAATGTTTTCGTCACAGCTGCTCACAAGCTACCTAGCGCAGTCTGGTCCGGAGAAGGACCAGACGTGTTTCGCGCTAATATGGGGTTCGTCAGTGCCGCGTATTCCCTCGGTCCCATACTGAGGATCGAACCCATGACAGCTAGGGGCAGATGCCAACTAACTAGCCGCTTAAACCACTGAGCTTTGGGAGAAGTCCACTACGCTAAACAATTTGCAAGCTAACTGAGATTTAGCATGACCTGTCTTCCACTGCTACGCTGGTTACTACCTTAGCAGATGGCATTGGCTAGCCTCCCCAAGTATTATACGAATTTTAGAAAGTTGCATGAAAAGTTGGTTTTCAAGTGTGAAAGATGCTAGGTAAAACAAGTAGATCAAAGTGTAAAGTTATCGCCATTTTAAAGCTAAATGAATTGTGAAAATGGCTAATGTTTTCATAAGTGCTATATAAAGGCCTAGTGTTGCAATTCGATGCCAGACATTGTGATATGAGATCGTTGCTCGCAAGTGGATGGACTGAGATCCGAGTTTCAGAGAAGCTTTGTAAGCGCCATTTTGGCCAGATGGATTTCTTTGTTCCAGTGTCCACATTTAGCGCTGAAGTTCACCTTTTAGACGATAGTTAGTAGCGACTTCTGGACTAATGCTTGACGGAGCTGACTGAAGAACCTGTCGTACACACATAATTGGCAATGCCGATGTTTAGGTCTGGCTACTAAGCCCCATTAACAATGTGTACAGATAAGCGTTTGAATTGAAGTCGACAAGTAGTTTACAAACTGCAGACAAAAGTAAGAGCTCAGGCCAGTTATATTCCGTAGTTCGCAGATAAGCTGTAGTTTGGAATGATTAAGCCATTTTACCGTATGTAAACAAAGAGTTCTTCTAGTAGACAGTCTGTCCACCACAAAGATGGATGCGTGTCGCTTTAGGAGACGTCGGTGCACCACGGGGTTAGTTTTGAACCGGCAGAAAATAGAGGTGCAAATATCATTGCGAATAAATTGAGACCAAAATGAAGATGAAGAAGTTTTGATCCAAGCTGCGATGAAGATGGGGGACGAGTGAAGAGGTTGCGTTCGCGTCCGATCTTTGTGAACTGGAGACAATAGGTCGATCAACACAGTGGCCACCAACATCAAAAATCTGGTATTGTACCCGCGGATGTTATCTTGTTTTAGTTTTTTCAGTTTTCCTAATGTCACTGATTTAATTAACTTCAGTTTCTGTCACGAAAATAACTTTACTGATGTGAGCCAAACGGCAACATCTTGTATGTAAAAGTGCAGGCGGGAACAAATTTTTTCACTTTCAACTATTTTGATTATATCCCAAGCAGGTATTGGTGCAGCAATCCTTATCCAGAAATGGTATCGACGATATCAAGCTCGTTTAGAGGCACACAGACGATGTACATGGATGATATATCAAACCTTGGAATATGCAGGGGAGCAAAATCATCTCAAGGTAAGAAGTGGATTGACCCATTCTCGTCCTCGACTATTAGGGGAGATTGTGACCAACTTATTGGCGTCAGTGAACTTAATATAGATTTGATTATTAGCTGCAAGCGTTGAGTGAGGTTTGTTTAAATTATCTCCAAAAGCGAATGATCCATTCAAATATAAGGTTTAATTTATAAATATAGGTGCATTTGTCTACTTTAAGCAAGCTTGTATTCATTCAACTGATTTAAACTGAATAATATTTCCAGAACTTTTTCACGCAGGCTAAGTGTGGAAGGAAGATACTGTTTGTCCGTACGCTAGTGGTTTACTAAGCAAAAAATTACAATTATAGTTACCTCTCTATGTGATTTAATTCATAAACAATTTCAGTGTATATCATCAAGCACAAATGGTACCTTGGAGGAATTGACCATTACAAATAAACAAACAAGTTTTTCTGAGTTAGTTCGAAACATAATAATCTAGTCACAAACTGGCCACTGTTCTCAACCAACATAGCTTATACAAACTTAATGGGTAATGGATAACTGCCAGTCAATTAATCACCAACCCTTACACACCGGTCGCTTGCATCCGAAGTCATCAAACCGATTTTGCTGGCTATTATTCATTTAGCTTTACGGAAGTAATCGTGAATTACGATCTGAAGCGGGACGTTAATTCTTGAGAGAAAAGTGTACCGATAAACTGTGATTCCGAATTGATTTTCAGCCCATCTGCTTGTCATCCTGTTTACGTCATTGAGCAACTTGTCACTTGGACTCCAGTATTCTTGCGAATGACAAGACGATGAAATATCTATAAAATTTGTCAAATGCAGATAATCACACGTGGTAGGAAAACGCTAAAGTCTGAAGGAATCAATCGTAAAGCAACCAGTTTAATCTTTATAGCCTGGTAGGCACAGTTTCAGCACCAAGAACTTGCAGAGCTAGTAGATGTTAGCGATGGCAAATAGCCAGATACACGCAGCGCTATCCAACCAATAGTACGACTGACGTCTGACGTATAACTGTGTTGGCGCAGAAATACGATAGGCTGACAAAGTTTGTAGATCAGGCAGCAGCCGTGAAAACAGTCTCACATAAACCAGACAAATCAGTGCCTCGAACTCGATGCTCAACATCAAGCAAATGTAAGAGTAACGATCCAGAGTTAGTCACTGCGACACTAGCGTCTCCTCCTAAACATGCGTTCGCCACATATTCCACAACAGAATACTTCGCCACATTGAAACTGTTAGAGGGCCGACAACCTACGTGTCCTTTGTTGCTACCCATATGACGGAGGCAAATCCCATTACAACCCTGCCCGCTGCCAAACGACTTACTATTGCCAATATCACAAAGGGACTCAAGACCGCACCACTTGTCCAATCGAAGAAAGCAGCCACTAATCCTTCCAAAAAGGAGAACATGATGCACTACAATAATTCTCTAACTGTTATATGCTCTAATGTGACTGAATCCGGGGCGAACTTCATAAAAGATAAGTTCAAGTTCAAGTTCAAGCGGGACTGGAACAATAGGATTATCCCGTGAGTGTTCTTTCTTCGGCGGGTCGTTGAACCAGGAGTTGGCGAACTTTGAAATACTGATGGACCTAAAACAAAAACCGCATCACACCCTGTCCAACCAATTAATGCCCACGTATCCTGCCCTAGCAGTCCCTGCTGGGTCGGTTATGTGAAGTAAGAGAAAAAAGTAAACGCAGAAGGCAAAAGAGAAAGTTGTAAGAGCTAAGCAAGTGTAATACCAAGATATTTGAGTCAATAAAAAAGAACTGAAAAGTGAAGGTGAGTCAGCTAGGAAAAAGGAAAGCTTTGCTGTTGCCACCTAAGAGCATTGAGCTGGCGCGCAGAACCCTTAACCGTAGGTTCCCTAACCACGTGATCTGGAAGAGAATTCCAGCGACCTATAACTCGGCGCGATAGACGAGTTTCCGTCCTAATCTTATCAGACCATGGTTTATGCAGTTTCAGTGGGCGACCGCGGAGACTAGGTAACGTAGCGGACTAAAAAGCCCTGACAAGTCCGGGCCAATCTTACCCGTCAAAATACGATAAGTGAGAATCAGGTCCCCTCTTATCCTTCGGTAGTGCATGGAGTACATACCCAAACTGAGCAAGCGTTCAGGATACGTCTGTCCCCGTAGACCTTGCACTAACCGAGTGCCCACTCGTAACACCCATTTCAAGTGCGTTTTGTCTCGGTTAAGACGTGGTGGACAAGCCTGAATACAATATTAAAGGTGGGGTCGGACGGACGCCGAAAATAGCTTCACAAACAACTTGGCCGTTAAGATTCCGAAAGAGCGGCGGATAAACCACATCATACGAAACCCTCGACAAGCAGCCTTCTTCCAGTTGTCTCCAGAATGAAGTGCTGATGCGTGCACGACTCCTAAATCAACCTGCTGCGTGACAACAGGGAGTTCACCACCGCCGACAACATATCGGGTGGGAAGATACGCAGCTCCGATTCGGAGAACAGAGCATTTCGTCCTATTTATGGGCATCAACCATAAGATAGACCATTCCAGAGCCTATCCAAGGCACGCTGAATTGCCTCAGAATCCCCCGGGATATCCACAATATTCCAGAGCTTAAGGTCGTCAGCAAACATTAATGATGACACACCTAGCTCTCCCGGCAAGTCATTTACATAGATCGCGAACAACAAGATAGTAGACGACAAAAAACAGTGGGACCGTTTGTGTCAACTAATAGGGGTTCAAGCTAAACCACTCAGTATGAGGCGTCTCCTCCGTCACACAAACTCCGTACATCTAGGTGAACCGCCGTTACTCCGGGTAACACATCAGTAAGGTGATGATGCAGAGGCAGTTCTCTTGTCAGCCACTCACCTCCGAACCACCACATGCACTGTTCCAATATTTCCAGATATTCGTTGGAGCGAACGCCAGAAACAGAAACAAAATCCGGATGACTTCCGTAAAAATACACGACGCAAAATCTATCCTTTTTCTCAGTGTCCCCGAGCTCCAGTCACTAAGCGAGCTAGAGGTCAAAGCGCATGACTGGGATGAATGGCGTTTTATTTTTGAAGTACTCTCACTCGAAAATGTTATTGCTAGTTCGACACCAAGGTTACCGCTATCACCTAACTACAAAGGGTGTGGTCCCCGAGTGATAAAAATATCATTGCACTCCGAACTGATGGCAGAACATGTGATCGAAATGTGGCACAGAAAGCGTAAAATGCTGCCTTTCGAAATACGTACAAAGGCAATAGGCACCGGGCCACATATAGACAATGTAACCCTGAGCCAGCAACTTACCTATACAATTCTGTCACCATGTAGCTCAGAATGGAAACAGTGCCAAAGCACACTGACAGGTGAAGGAGGACAGGATGGTCACCCTCTTGTTGGCGTTGAGGGCTCCATAAACAATCTGAAGTGGCCCTAGTGTCTGCGTCATCTGTCTTAGAATAAACGGCAGGCAGCCGACCCTCTTAGGGTCCGCGTAGACCCTCACCGGATACCAGCACTCACAAACACGCTTCCGACCACCGATGCCCTGACCTGCTTGTATACCAATACACAAGGTCTTCTGAAAGCTAACCAAACTTCGGATTCGTCAGGTCCCCACGCCATGATACCTGGTTATGGTCCCCGAAACATGATTGAACACGAAGATCACGGATGTTAAGATCTCACTACCAGGCATGACTTCCCTAGGAAACGATCGGCCTAGCAGAGGAGAGGAACTGCTCCTGGTTTATCGATCCGACCTGCCCGTTGATATCATTGAGGACCTAGAAACGTAAGTCGTCGATTCACTTTGGGGTTGTATGCATCTGAGACGTGGCGCTGTGTTTACTAGCAATAGTTAACCGCCCTCCAATGTCCACCTTGGAAATGGATCAGTGCTTAGCTTCTTTGATGAAACCAGTCCTGGCACGACCACACAGTCACGTCCTTCTGATGGGGGTCATCTTCCTGCTCGCACTCGAAGTTCCAGCATCGCGCAGCGAACAATTCCAGGCTAATTTACAAGAGGTGATCCCCCATGTACCTCTGTACAACTATGTCACCTCTCCCACGCGATTCCGAACGGGTGACACACCCTTTGTTTTGGACCTTGTGCTCTCTAACGAGGAACTAATGGTCAACACCGTGACCATAGATGCACTATTTGGCCGCAGCCATTACGCGATTTTGCTCTTTCGTTACACCTGTTACTCGGAGTACATCAGTGAGAACAATCTGGAAACCTATGTCCTTACACATTACGATATACTGACCAACTTCGTTTGAGAAACCGAATGGTCCTTCCTGGCCGAGAAGCCGCCGATGTCTCCTTAATGTTGTTGGTCACTTGATTCCCTGAGCTAGTAGCAAATGCGTCAGAAATCAAGATACTTTGCCTGAAGCAAGTGAGTTGGTTCCTGAGGAGCAGTAGTAGAAAATGCTTGGGCTTAAGAGATTCAGCCCGGAGCGCTTACACATTCTGTCCAAGTAATCCGATCTGGAGTGTTTACACAACTCAAAGAAACCACTGCGTCAAGTTGATCGACGGAGACAAACTCCAGCACCGACAGAACTTAGCAGCGAAAGTCGGTACAAATCCGAAGTTGCTGTATAGACACGTGCAAATGCTCCGCAGAGTGCAGTGCGGGATCCCAGTTCTACGTGCAATAGATGGTCTTGCGCAAACTGCAAAAGATGCAGAAAACGGGTTTCGCCAGCACTTCATCCATATTTCCCGGAGTAAATCAACATTTCGTCCGCTTTTGACCCAGCTTCCATCGCCTTCAGGGTTAACTGACGTTCCGTTTACGGCAGCCAATGTGATGAAAACGCTGGCAGTACGCGTGCACAGCTCATCTGGCATGGACGACATCAAATCAAAGTTCATGAAGACAGCGGTCCTAAAACTTGCCGAAACATTAGCTCGGTTCTTTCAAGGTTGTCTCGACGAAATGCAGGTTCTGATAACGTGGAAACATGGAGTAATCACTCCTATTTAGAAAAGTGGTAGGCTTTCGGAGCCACTGAACTACCGTCCAATCACTATCCTCTCAGTTGTAGCCAAAGTAATGGAACATATAATTAATGAGGCGCGCATGGGATATCTTGAGAGCAACAACATCCTAATGTCAGAGCAACACGGATTCCGCCGAAAATGATCCTGCACTACAAACTTGCTGCTAGCCCGAGCATGCTGAACCGAGCCAGCCGATGTCAAGGTGGGAGTCGACTTTGTCTACCTGAAGTTCTCGAAACCGTTCGATCGGTTGTACTACCGCATTCTCCTTCACTAGCTACGAAGCCATAGAATCGGTGACCCTATACTCGGTTGGATCGGCAACTTCCTCGCTCATCGTCAGCTGAATGTGAGAGTCCGCAGCTCCATTTCCGACCCGATTGACGTCCAGTGTGACGTGCCTCAAGGATCGGTACTGGGACCACGTTTAGTTCTCAAATTTATTTCTTCCTATTTGCACATGATATCAAGCTTTGGTATGGTATAAGGACATCGGATGATCACATGGCATTGCAGAAGGATCTCGACAGGGTCTATGTGTAGTCATCCGACAGCCGACTCCAATTCAAAGTGACCAAGTGTAAAGTCGTAAGCATACGCCATTAGCTTGTCTATGAATATCTACTTGAGGACCAGCAGTTGCAATGTGCTTCCCAAGAAGACGACCTCGGGGTGATGGTGCAGGACGATCTTGATTGCTCGATACAGGCTGAAATGTCCTCAAAAATAGCTAGTTAACATCTTGGACGCGTGCGAAAAGCTTTCAGCAATTTCGAGTCATCAATCTTTCCGCAAATGCGGTACACCTACGTGAGTCCTCACGTGGAATCTTCGATCCAGGCCTGACGTCTCTGGCGCAAGCGCGACGTGGAAGCACTTGAATCTCCACGACATTGAGCAACCAAACTCGCTAGATGATTGTTTCATCTCTCCTACCAACTCAAACTGCAGTCCCTGAGATTGTACATTGGTGCAAAGCGACGTCAGGGAGGAGACTCAATCATAGTTTACTTAATATTGACGAACCCAACACACCCATGTCGCAATCTGTTGCAGCTGCCTTAAAATACCATACTGAGAGGCCATCAGCTCAAACTAGCTACGCACTACAGTCGACTTGATTGTCCCGTGCCTGGAATGCCCTTCCGGCTCACGATATCCCTGCCGCTATATTATCGCTATGCAAACAATGCCTAGATGAAACGCTTTCCAACTTGCATTATTTGAAATAGTCCGTTGCACTTGGAGGAGAAAATAACGCAAAACTAATCATGTGCTCAGCGTCCCTCTACGTAACGTGGCGGTAAGGATACATGCAGAAGTGTCCATGTGATTAGGTTGGATGTAACTAAACTGGATTAACATACCATATCTTTCAAAGGAAGAAACAAACGAATGAGCGTTCTAGTTTTTTTATTCCTCATGCAATTACTGAACTATAACAGCTCTATATACTATTTTGCTTGTGTACATCCCATTCTCACTTCAAGCCTGTTTTGCAGTAGTGCATTTAACTCGGTGGACACTTGCCATAACGGTTTACTGATTCGATGATCCTTTAAATTCCAATTTGTACTCCAACCTTCCTACGGGACTTGTCAACCACATGCTATTTTACCTCTGCTAAACCATTGTTCATTGTTCAAAATATCTTTCCTGCTCCGTAGCTCAGCCACATTGTAATTCTCTAAGTGGTGTTTAAGCATGAAATTAGAAGCAGCTATATTGTTAAAATTATACGTATGTCAAACATTGTCATACGCTGTTGGACAAACAACGTCCGGGTATTTTATCCATTACTTCAACTTATTTGCTGTTATTCTGATCAGCTCTCTCCTCATCCCCTCGGTGTGCTTTACAGATAAATTAGTTGGCGAGAATTACTAAAGGAACTACACTTGGTTTTGAGTTGACACTGAAGAATACATCCGACGCGTTGATTAGCATCTACAAGTTCATGAGCAAGATGTTTCCAAATTTTAACAGGTTTCTGTGAGCATGATTTGCGCCTATTTAGTCTTATACAATGACACCGGGAGTGTTATCGTGCTGTATTCACCAAAAGACAATGTCGGTTAACTGTTTCGAATCCTTATGAGTGACTGCGATTTGTGCGGCCCTGTGGTCTTATGGATCACATGCCTGCCTTATAGTTGTGAGATTGTGTTTTCGAGCCTACCCAGAGGTACAGGCTACTCATGCAGTATCCAGAGCCCATGCTCGACTGGTGGTGGTCTCGCTGCAGTGAAGCATCGGTATTGCGTACGGGCATGTCGCTGATGCCCTTTTGGCCTGCCCGGTTTTAGTGGTTGTGGAAAATCTCTTTAGCGTCAAGTAATTCCTTTTAATTATTTTGTTTCACTCCATCTGTTTTATTAAACTGGTCAAGTGTTCAGCCATTGTGATCTACTCTTCCTCAGCTTTACAACCTCTACAGGGATCTTTTGATGAGCAAGGAAGTTCAGGCACCGGAGTACAGTAACACCGTGGATACTAACTTGGCGGATAAGGAGAGTTCAAATGTGACAAGTATGTGCACCAATGTCGCTTGTTCATGTTGTGATACCACTTCCGAATGCTACGGACACTGTATACGCCTGTGTCCATAGGCTGTTCCTTGAAGTTGTTACAGTGCTAATTAGGTTTGTGGACTATTAGATACCATGTACCCATTTCCTCACTGAATGGTTGTAAACCATTTGGAGACAAACTTCGTTTGACTTTAAGTTGGACATCCGTTATAAGATATTTGACCCATTCCACCTATATCACAGCAAACTTACGGTGAAAATACTTATTAGTCCTCAATGCGGAAGTGCAACATTTACGGGGAATGAAATGTTTTGTTCACGGTCCCCTCTATCTGGGTGTAACACACTTGTGCATATTTTATCAGAGAAACCAAAGGAAAAATAAACGCAAACAGCTTCAACTGAAAAGCTGAGTATGGATGAATTTAACGCAGTTCAGAATCCGTTCAAAAGTTTATTCGGACCATCGGCCAAATACATTAATCTGTTTGCGAGATCTGATGTAACACTTAAAGGAAAATAAGAACTTGTAGGGAAATTGCTAAAAGTTGCCAATGCTGACTAGACAATAGTACGAACAAATTTTGCCGTGAAAGACAGCGTGTTCTTTGTAGATCTACGTCCCACATTGGTCACACGGGGATTTGGTCTACCTTTCTTTCTTGGATGGACAAAGAGAGAAGCTTTTGTTTTGGAACAGCTTTGGTATTCTGTGCTCTTTTTGAAGTCTTGGCTAAGGTTTGTGAGATGGTTGGGTTTTGCATCAGGAATTGCAAGGCAATTGATATGCTTTGTCGCACTAAATCCTGATGAGTTGGAACTGCTGCCCTTCTCAGGATCTCATGAGATGTGAGAGATCTTCCTATAGTTACAATGAACCTTTGGTGGTTGTCTTCTTGATAGAGCCTGTTTGATGGATATTTGTGTCTGAGGACGACAAACGTAGGATGTTACAGACCACTAGTGGATATCTGTTCGTCTTGCGTTTGACACCAGTATTAGTGATATAAAGATTATTTGGGTGCTACACACCCAGTAGATAGGAATAGGCATAAACGGTATTTGTGGTTGGCGGCATCCGGTTTCGGATTTTCCTGTCACTGTGGCCAGCCACAGGACGCCTGCACCAACAGACGGACCATGGGTGGCTTCCGCCGCACCACCCACAGCTCCAACCACATACCCCATATCCAGTGTAAACCGAAGGAATAAGACCGGGAGGCATGTGGATGGGAGCCACTTTTCATCAACGAAGCCGGCCCACACTCCTTCACAGGCAAACACAAATAAGCCGTATTTGGGGAATCAAGCGCACACAAGGCGGTGGCTGGACCGTAGTCCGCTCCACACTCAGTGCAGGGAACCACTCTTCGAGCTTAGCACGACCACAAGGACCGTGCACCCCGTCCCCTCCAGCAACGACCAACTGTCTCCTGGAGCCAGTATGGACGAGGTAGTGGGTAATAGACAGGTAGGCACCTTATCATAATGCACATCAAGTGCAGCCACAACTTGGATGTCGAACAGCAGCCAATCACTCAAAATGCCGGTATCGATTAAAGTGAACGCATATGAGGACATAAATTCTCGCTAAATGAGCATATAAAAGAAATTGGTTATAAGTGAATCCGTGATAAGCACAAAATGTCCGAGAGGGACATTGGATGGCTTCCGCTGCACCACCCACAGCTCCAACCACATACCCCATATCCAGTGTAAACCCGAAGGAATAAGACCGGGAGGCATGCGGATGGGAGCCAAGTTCCATCAACGGAACCGGCCCACACTACTTCAAAGCAAACACAAGCAAGCAAATGGCGCATATATATATATATATATATAATGTACTATTATATTCAGCGGAGGCGGAAGGGACAGGACATAAATAGGTTGGTGAACACAGGGATAAAGGAATGTCATTTTACATACAATATCATGCAGATAGACTTACTGCTTCAACGGAGCGAAAGGACATCTGGTACAACGTGAGATTTAAGGTAATGAGTAGTATCACCACATTTACTCAATTGGTTTTAACAACATCCGTTGCAATGAGATGATCCTCACATGTTGCGGCAATCGTTGAATTACTAGCTTTAATGAGCAACTATCCATTGTTGAACCTACCAACAGGTATGTTTTTAAAGCATGCTACAAATTGCACATGCAAGGCTTCTTATTGGTGTTGAAAATGCTGATTAGTTTACTTGGAATATTGACGTTGCCTCTTTTTCAAACCCGAAAGTTATTTCCCGTCGTGTTATTCTATCAAAGGCGACATGACCATACTCTTACCTTGGATTTCCGCATTGTGGGATCACTGTCTTGCCTTGTAATCCGAGGTAGTTGGTTTGAGGTTGGTTAGGGGACCGAGCAACTATCACAGTATACTTAGTCTATACGAGAGTTCTGGTGCTTGCGTGATAATGAAAATTTCGTACAGCTTACCGGCGTATTGCTAAGACATCCACTTTTTCGGATTATCCTCTGAATGTCTATACTTCGGCATTTTGCCGTAGGTTGTTCCCTGTTCCCATTAAATTAATTTCGATCCTTGCGAATACTTAGACGTAGACTGACTTGAGAATGTCAACAAAACCACTGATTATTCCAACACAACAAAGCCGTACCCCTGCTCTCGGCAGGCGTAATAGACTGGTGTTTTGTGGTACTGAAAGAAATTACGACGGTTTGAGTTCAGTTCTCATTCACCTTATTTGCGGCTGGAAATTCCATGCTGAGAAGGAACTGTCCACTTGCATGTCTCTTGAGTACCGAGAATACGGACAGAGTTCCTGTAACATCGTAACAATTGCGAATCTGCGGCTCCGAGCACAATGTAATTTTCGACTGGCGGCACAAGGCAGTTTGCTGATTAGTATCACATACAGCGTATCGCACAACTTAGCACAGTTCAACTCATGCTTCTTAGGTCGTTAAACTTCCAAGCAACAGATGGCAGACAAACTCGGTTCATGCGGATGCCATAGATTCCTTAGCAGTTATTTATCAGTGCGAAGGATTTGCTAAATTTTCCATATACTTCCGATCTTAATTAGGCTCGAAGGGAACATTTATCTACAAAGTAAAAGTACTCTTTATGAGTATGGCCAGGTGCTTATGAGGAAAAATGATGTTTGGATCATTATTAGGTCTTAGAATAACTGCCGAGTTGCTATGTTGCGACAATTGAGGACACAGTTGGCTTTGAATAAAACTCATGTCGTTTCGATCACTGGAACCTGACCCGAAGTGTAGAGTTTCGGAGATGTTTTCTCCCAACACCGCATTCCATCATCGACCGGTTTCGTCCAGGTTTGGACTCGCCAGGTAGATAGTTTAAGCCGAACAACCTCATCGTGGTGCCAGCTGGGTGGTTCGGGTTTAACCCGTTCCAGCAAATAGTTCGGCGGCAGTGTTCCAGGACGTGGTGCGTTTTCGCCCGGCAAGCGTTCCCCCTATAAAAAGCCACAAATGTCCGCTTATCAACACTGTGACATGGCGGATGTGACTCGCCACAAAATAAAGTCACTGGCCCGTGGACATCCGGAAAATGGTATCCAACCCACGGACGTCAATCGCTTATACTCACATTCCTACCGATAACAAACAGTCAAAAATTCTGCGGCACATTCAAAAATACAAGCTACATTCATAGACAATTGCATACATATATACACCCATACACTTACATTCACTGTTATGCCAAACATGTACTCTTTGTACATTTTGATCACACTACGTTAGCTAAACATGATCATGCCTGTACAGGTGTGCCTCGCATTGTCGAGAATAAAAGTTTATTTATTTATTTATTTATTTAGTATATGACGGTTTCCTTCTTGGTCTGAATGCCAAGTGTCCGTAGCCCAAATTAACATAACGCTAAGCGCACATTACTAGTAGCACGGGTACCACTAATGGGTTTGGTAATATCCAATCTCGGCGTAGTTTTTACATGGACTACACAAGTCGTGCAGTTGTATAAGACTTGTTTGAGTACGGAGCTATTCTGGCGCGGATGGATTCAGATTTACAGATCATAATAACACTGGACAATGAAACAATAATTTAATATGGGTGAGTAAGCAGGTACTTGATAAACTCCTTTGGATACAAAGCGTGGGAATTGCAATAAGGAACATACTGATGACAGAAAAATGGGCAGAATTGGGTTTTTAATTGACTGACCAGGCTATTCATATCAAGACAGTTGATAGTTTCCAACCTGTTTACGTTACCAAAGGGAGCTAATGAGCACAATACTAGGTCAATGTTATATCGTCTTGCGATTTAAACTGACTATATCACCTAACGGAAATGGGATACGTGTCGTTGAGCGATCTTTCAGCAAGCATTGATACAGCAGCAAAATTGTTTTAATTTACAAGAGCTTTTCATGTTAAGGATTCTAAATTGGAGAGAAAAGCTTCTCGGCAATCAATTCGAACCTAGTGCACGACAATTTGGTGCTAGTGACCTTTCGGGTTGCTACTTGTTATCAACATACTGCCGGTAAACTTGTTAAAAGCCAACAGCCAGAACTTTCTTTTATCCGCATCTAAACACATACTCTTCCTTCAGGTGACGACGCATTGCAAGGAAAGGCCTCAGAGCTGTGGCAAGATTACTGGGTACCGGACGTTCCATCAAGTTACTCTGGACCGGTGATTAGATTCCCCCTAGATGCACAACAACTTGTCGATTTGTTGGATGCCTTCGGACAACACAAAGTAAGTGAATCACTTTTCTGTCTTTTGGAGTCGCTAGGTAGACACTATACTCAAACTGAAGTTTACTTGGCCAGTGAGGTAGAGTTCCAATCATTATGATACGGCGCGAAGGTGCTGAAGAATTATGAAATCGCAAATTAAGAAAGATCCCTTCACATGGAGCAAAGTAAACACATCTGAACCCGCAAATTGAGTAGATTACGTTGCCATCTGTTTTCCATACTTCAGTTACCAATATACCCGAATTTCAAGAAAAATAATTATGTTTAAAGAAAAGTCAAATAGACCTCTTGTGTCTTTAAGTTCCTATAAATCGGTAAGCTAAGTAGTTAATCAAAATAATTCGTATTGTTAGTAATAAATCCATAGTACAACGGTGGGTCTAATCGTGAGTAAGTAGCTCAATAACTGTAGCACTTGCAATGTCAGCTTATTAGTGAGAAAGTCGGTCTATCTGTCTGTTACTCATTTCTCTGACGGGCCACCAGGTATGCGCACTCTTGCTGGATTTGGATTTTTCTCCGAAGCGTTATTTAATTGAATCGTCAGCCGCATCGCACTACTTGTTCCGTCATGTATGGGAAAGTTTTCTTGCTCTCCAGGCAGAAAAATGGTGCGCACTGCCAAATCCCTTGCTTAACCTGCTTATGCGGCTTAGTTATACTTGAAATATCTTGTAATTGGTGCTTTGTGAAATGATATTCAGATGCAATAGTGTTGACACAAATGTCGGGCATTGAGAGACCAGCGGTTTATTGCATCAATGGAGGCCAACAGTTGTCTCAGAAAACTGCTAAATAAATATGGCTGGGATATTTCGATTGGTGATGAACTTACCCGAGTGATGAGATTCCTCCTTTGACTTCTTTAAACCAACAACGAGAGACTCCAATAAGCGCAAACGTATAAATATACAATTACGCGATGTCCAATCGTATACTTTTTTGCTTGCTGCGTATTTCTTAACACATTCTGCGCAACAAATATTAAGGAACATGATGTAAAAGGTAGCTGCCTTTCAGAATCGAAAATCCGATACCACAAAAAAGGTTTTTCTTTAAAACAAGTCACCAGCGTCTAAACATTTCTCAATCTCGGTATTAAAATTATCAACTTTACCTGCTATAAACCACAGGCCATGATTTGCGTATACGAAGGATATGATTCGCTAAAATCAACCACATATAAATTCGGTTGTGCTACCTTGCAAAGAACGATAACTCATGTATTCTCCGGGGGGTTCAGAAGAACTGACTTTTGTTGATAACAGATGTTCAGGTTTTATAGGGCGAAGGTGAAATTGTGTGACATAAACTGAACATTGGACAAAAAGGAGCAGACCATATACCACTACAGATGCTTATTGCACGGTACGTACACATGCACCGCCTCTGTGGAAGCCGAAAGGATAAACCTGCATTCAGAGAAGACTTGTGGCGGGGAAAAGACGCATGCAGATACACCGGTAATGAAACATAGTCCGCGATGCAGTAGAACTTCCAGAGATCTTTTTAGACTCCATTGCTATTAATCATCTTGATACTTAACTCCGTGTACTCTTTATGATGCCAACTAACTGCTTACATTCAAGGTAAAACACGCTGTCGCGCATCCTATATAATAGTTCAATGCACACAATAATTACAACATAGTTCTTCCACATTGTGTTTATTCTTTCTCACCATATTCCTAAGGATGTCGTGCTCGCAATTGGATCTGATCTAGTGGGACCTTTCGCATACGTTTTTTTTCTATTTTGACATCTTTAATAGATGCTACTTTTTAAAATATTTGCTTAGATATTATGAGTGGCGAAATCGCAACTTTCTAATTTGTGGGCACATAACTTTTGCGCGTATGGCTAGAGTACTCTTATAATTCCTAAGAAATAGCATCAGCAGAGTGCAGATGTGAGTATACGAAAGCCAAATCTGGATGCCTTACTTCCGCTAGCATGATTACAACATTGCCTAGTTCATTGGGGTAAAAGGGGGGGTTTTCATTGCTTATCTCATAGCTCAGCCACCGTATAGGCAAGCCAGATCGTGCAACTGACGCCGGGCATTGAGCATGGACGTAGAAAATATGGTTAGCTACAAACTGTCATCGACAAAGTTTAAACATGAGCTAATCGAAGAATCTCATTTACGAAGAGTACATGAAGTTATAAAATATATAGGTAGTTTTATGTTCAGTGTCACTGTTAATGTGATCTGGTCCTGTTTCTACAGATCTATGACGGTCTGTAAAAAGTAGAATTAAAACGGAACATTTGAGAGCGCTCCGTCGACCTCAGTTCGATCGCAGCTGGATAATCGGATTACGTGAACAAGAGAGGTGACTGCTTTGGTGATCAAGTCTGACTCGGATTGTCTTGAAAAGTCCACACAGTCAGCAGAATCAGTGATTTCGAGGTTTTATAGTCAGCTTTGGGAACAACAACTAAAATAAGCTTTAACAAGGGCAATTATTTCCTTCTGTGATGATATTGCTACCGTCTGTGATGGAAATGTCATATGAGATGGTACGGATGGACCAACCGAGCGAGCCATTCAGCCAATAGGGGACCAGTGTAACCGATTCGGTTAATGGACACGGATTGGACGAAATTCGTATCAGTTGCTCACCGTTTGTTCGAATGAGTCAAAAGAGAAACCACATCAACTCAGAAACTTCTCTAGTTATTTACGTAAATGTGCAACTTATATCGAGGAGTTTGGTTTACAAAAGATGCTGTTACTTTGGCGAAGTTGACTATACGGAATAAACCCTTGTCCCTGAAGGATTGAGTTCCACAACACCATCTACAGTCCGCTAAGGAATATATATAATTCAGAGTAATGCAAGTTATTGGATGGTCTTTCCACTGCAATTTAGTCTTAACTAATACCATTTAATCCCAACTTTGTATTGTTGTAGGTTATGTTACTTATTATCGGTTAGCGCATGCAGCGTAGTTGTAAGGTTACTTTCCTAGTCTCTAGCTCCAGCTATACATATCTGTATTTAGAGAAGCCTAACATATCTGAGGAAATCTTTGTAGATTTGTTAACGATTGAACACTGGCGTTTGCTTACAATCTTAATTCTCTTCGTCGTTTAAATTTAATCTGAACCTGAACTAGGAGCATTCGATAATATTTGAGAACTAAATTCGTGCACGTGTCAAAATACCTTAAGTGAGAAGAAGCCTAGGTAATCCACATGAGGGAAAACCGTCCCAATTTTGACGCTATTGACCTGGTTCATTAATTCTTGCCCGCTGCTAAGCTTTTAAGTAGAGGTCTCACCGAAAACCGGTCAGCATTAATTTACAATTCACAACAACCCACTCTCATTAACGATCTTGGTACAACTCGAAAGAGTTAAGACAAAATCCACACACTAGCGCTACGTAATTCGTGTAGCGTTTTCAGTGAGTAGACAACGTGTATGTAGTGGCTGCCAAATTCACGTCCTCACAACTTAAGGTGTAGCGCTTGTAACTAATGTGCTTATTTTTCATTTCCAAGCTTACCTATTTCGCTGCAGTTGTTTTACAGCTTCGTTTTAATTAACCATATATACATACGCTTGGCTTCGAGCTCGTTTTCCGTGGTTCTCGCTTGGTTGCTACTAGATTGTTGTTATTGTGCGCATCGCTGCCTGCTCTATTCACCATCGGACTTTACGTACACATACACTTCGGCATACCTCGCGATTTACGGTCGTCCGACGCTAAGACGCATCAGGATATTTTATATGTGAGGTAAACCTGACTGACTGGATATTCTCCTTTACCGCTTCCTACATATAATTGGGTCTCGTCGGGGTCACCAATTATATGTAGGAAGCGGTAAAGGAGAATATCCAGTCAGTCAGGTTTACCTCACATATAAAATATCCTGATGCGCCTTAGCGTCGGACGACCGTAAATCGCGTGGTATGCTGAAATGTACGTGTACGTAGAGTCCGATCATGAATAGAGCAGGCAGCGATGCGCACAATAACAACAACCTAGTAGCAACCAAGCGAGAACCACGGAAAACGAGCTCGAAGCCAAGCGTATGTATATATGGTTGATTAAAACGAAGCTGTAAAACAACTGCCACGAAATAGGTAAGCGTGGAACTGAAAATAAGCAAATTATTTACAATCGCTATAAAGGGCGATCACGATAACACAGATCGCGAGCTGTCTTGGAAACCGCTAAACCTATTTGACCAACGGGACCAGGTGAATTCGTGAAACCTGACAGAGGAAATGCGAAGACAGCAACAAATATCTATGCATTTCTTGGTAACAAGCGACAGGCTCATTACACTAGTTAGTTTCCGTTGTGTGTTTTCAGGGCTTGCAACTACAACTTCCCCACTGGAAACGAAAAGCAGGAGAAAGCATTATCTCGCGGGTAGCATGTCCCCAAACTTAGGCTATTAGAAGTGTGAACCGTTCTTGAAAGGAACCGTCATGTGTAAATTCAGGCATGTATTCCTCAGACTACTTACATTTTGTCAATGAATTTACTGCCGAGATTTGGTCTCTTACGATTTGACCAACCAGGTAATACAATTTTTAAACACATTGAGCAAAGTCTGAGAGTTGCTGTCCACTTCGGTGTTTCGCGTGGTTAGAAAGCCGCCTTTTGGTCATTGCGTGCACAAAAGTAGGTCAGAGTTCCTGACTGCTGCATTTTATTGTTGACAATACCATAGTTAATTGAGGCCAAAGTTCTCTCCATTCGTATGTAGCATCCCTTAAGTAGCTTCTAATAAGCTCCTCTGGTTAAAGTGCATTTTGCGCGGGTGTTTGTGTTATATCAGAGTTCGAACTCGCTCATTTTTCGATCCCTAAATAAATATAACTCCATCGCTAGTTCTGAGTTTATTGCTACATATTTCCTCTTAGGTAATATAACCAGCTCATTATTAGTCGGCTTCTAGTATCAATCTTTTATTTCTTTCTTCCCTGCCTTAACTAGCGGATACATTGCTACTACCTCTACCAGTTGATGAACGAGGCTCGAAAGTTGCTTGCATCTCGGCCAAATATTCAAAAAGCCAGTACTTCCATTTCCAGACAAATCACCGTTGTTGGAGATTTACATGGCCAGTTCGGTGATCTTCGGACCATACTACACAAGGTGTGATTTGTATTGGTCTCTTTCCGTAATGACTGTGACCATTAGTGATCTATATAACATGTTTACTTTGACGTGACGAGAATGGACACATAGCGTCACCTTACGCAGAAATAGGTTTCACAAGTAAAAGTCACTTCCTGTATAAAATTAAGTCATACATTGGAATTACACGTCGCAACCCATTCGCACACGTACTTCCAAATTACCTGCAATCAGTCATGCATGGTTGCGCCTAGCGTTACCCACTGTGATCCGGTGTCTAAAGGCGTATAAGTTTCGAACAGTGTTCCAATGGTCCCTGGGTTCAACGTCTACTATCTCTACTTGATGAGATCAAACAAGTTCGAATATGGTCGTGCAGTGCAATGTCTTGCAGTCAGTTTCACTCACTATCCGTCTCTGCCAGTTATGGTCTTAATAATCGAACTGATCAAGGTTTACTTCAGCGCTAATCGCAGTCCACATTTGGAATGCGTATGGTAATCCATTAAGTATGGCCCGCAGGCGACAGACTGAACAGAACGTGCAGGCGTACTAGGGAACCGTTTGATAATTGCTTCCTACATTGTAGTGACTAAAATTGCCGAGAAGAAAAGCCAATGAAATAAAGAAGGTTAGGCAAGGTCATTGTCAAACAAATGTGTGACTGCCTATGTTTTCATGAGCAATACTTAACTACATACGTAACCCAATCCATTTACACAAGGAGTGCTTT